TTTTTATTGACTGTTGAACACAAAAGTCAATATCCAACAATTTTTGACATGTTTATTTCAAACCAATTTCATTGTGAAGAAAGAGTTATAGAGAATGGAAACACTTTTGAAATACCAGCAGATCTAAAATAAAGTATTTTAATTTATTAATCCTATTCTTGCTTCAACGCCATATGTAAAACATTAATCTTAGAATTTTTCTCTTGTGCTATTGGAATGAGCTAATTAAATTCTTTTTATATTTCTGTTCAAACTGAAAGAAACTTTCAATCACTTACATTATAAAACCAATACTTCTGAATATCTAGCACTGTTACATATTTTAAAAAGTTTAATAAATGAAAAATATCATCAACGATCTCTCTATAATAATTTTAAAGATGACAAGCTATATGAAATGAACTATTCTGTAAAATAACATAAATTTATCTTCATGAATTTATTCTAGATGAACATTTCAATATTTTTCGTTCCATTAATTAACAAATACGCTGAAAAAAATTGATAAAAATTATTTGGTCATTGTTGTCAAAGTAGATTCATCTAAGCTATCATTGAAACTAGTTCATTCATGCATTGCAAAAATAACTGTAACTACACATCATAAAAATATTTAACAACTCGATTGTTTAATTTTCAAGCTAGCTAACAAACATACATTTAATCAACAAACAACTGTCTATCAATGTAGTCTTAAAAAAAAATGATAGAATATCAGATTATTTGAAATTACATTTAGATAAATAGATAAAAGTCAGTAGAAAAAAGAATGAAACATGATGTAATTTGAGTTTACTTTTCAAATTTATAACATCTCCAGTATCTCATACTGTCTCACTTATTACATGATCAGATTAATGGAACCGTTGACGGACTTTTCCATACATCGAGAGATAACTTGTAAGACAGCAAAAGTCGTCGTCCGCAATACACGTAGTTTTTTCAGGCAACGCAAAGGTTGATTTATTCGTTCTAGTTTCCCCAGGGTACAGTCTTCCTGAAGTGGCTACGTGCCTTGACTATAGACTTGTGAGATGTCGTCCTAAGACTTTCCTTTGCTTGAAGAATATTTTCTTTTTTACCGGACTTACCCTATCTGAATGTTTTTTTAGCTACTGAAAGCGATGAATTTTATAATAGCAATGAATTTTTCAGAATTTCTTATTACCAACTTTGTAAATATTGTTGTGTGAATACTGGATACTAACATTTTAATGCAACCTATTCAAATTTTATTAAATAATATCAGCATCAATATTTATCATCTATTTAAACATGAATAATTAAAGGTGATCTATTTTATTTATTTCAGAAGTAAATATTTTTTAGAAATTACTCAATTCTATCAATCTTAATGCTTTAATTCAATTCTATATTTCAGTTAATTATTCTAATATTTTTTTACAGTATTGAAATCGACTGTCAATCAGTCATTGTCTATTATATTCATTCCAATTTGAACAGCAGACAACGTTACATTCTGATTACTATGCATTTAGTTTTATTATTATCATTACTATAATCATACATGTTATTATAATATTAAATTTATTATGTCAAGATTTGAGAATCAGCTAATGATTAAACATTCTTTTAAAAGTTGGATAATAATTATAATATATACCTATTATTTTTCCTATATTTTTAAAATAAAATATTTTTTTTTTCATCTGGGTTAATTGAAGAAAGAATATTTTTTACAAATGGAGGAATAATTTTGAATAATACATTGAATTGTAAAAAATGAAAAGAATGAAGATTTTTTAATCTCATTTATTAGAATTCATTTATGTAAAAATAATGACTAAAGTATGTTACTCTATTTATATACCTTGATTGTGAATCTACAATAATTATATTAGGTTAATAAAATAGGCACGAAAAAATTAGCGATTATTAAAAATCACTCTTTTATAATAGAGTTTTTATATTTAAATTATAAATAATTTAGGAATATTTTAGTAATTAAAATTGTTAATAAATTACTTAGAAAATAATTCAAAAAAATTTGTTTTTATAGGGAATTCTGAATGTTTTGATTAGGATTTGATGATTAGTAGTAAATAAAATAATTATTAGTATTTATTTCTGAAAATAGGTAATAAAATTTTAAGTGAATAAATTTGGATTAAAAAAATCTATAAATAAACTAATCATAGTAATAAATAATAATAATAATCAATATCTTTTGACAGTAGTCATTTTTCACGTTATATCCAGATCATTTGAGCTTTAGTAAATCTGGGATTACAATAGATTATGGTAGAATTAGTCATAAGTCCCTATTAAGCTACTATTCACAAGATAAAAACATATCTTACATTAGATGTGATAAAATGAAAAAATAAAAACAATTGTAATAATTTCATATTCATAAATAACATGATGATTTTGTATAATATTTGATGCATAAAAAAAAAGTCTTTCAACAGTTTAGTATTTCCTCGAATGGTTACAAATAAAATATTCTATCATCATTAAAATGAACATTTTTTCACAACACAAAAGATACAGCTGGAAAAAATTGAAAGCAAATTGATTAAAAATATATCACACAAATCATAATAATCCATGCAAATTGAATAAAAAAAATAAAAACTCGTGAATTCTATAACAAGAAAGAAAAAACAATATTTCAGTTAAATGAAACTTGACAATAATTGAAAAGTATTTTTTAATATTCTTCAATAAATCAATTTCTCATCCTCATGGCGATAGTCCTTTTGCCATCTGCAAATAATTTGGTGTGCATTGACGAATGCACACATTGTCTTAAAGTCCCTTTCTTTGATACCAAGCGTAATCTTGATCTATTAATTTCCTGTTCCGTGAAACTTGGAGCTCATATATTGTTAAAGTTTGAATAAGTGATATGAATTGAACATAATATCAGAATGAATATTGGGCACACAGTAGAAGCTGAAATGGCATAAAAAATTTCCTGTGTGGAATTGTTACAGATTGTCTGCTTAGTAAAATTCAATTGGCTACATTCCATACGTTTGTACGATAGTCCATATCACAAATTAATAAGGATAATAGTAACATTACTGTAACATCCTTCCGATTGTAGACGTTTTCACCAGCTACTGGTCCCCTACCACCTGACTCGTCGTCGTCAACCCTCGAGCAATCCTCTCTACGAGACCGCCAGCAACCCTCCGTAATCAAATCCCACCCTAACCGCTCTGCACCCTCTTCGCACGAAAGGAATGTTAATGCGACAATACCTCTGTTCTGACTCACCTCCACCCTGCAGAGAGCAAAGCGGCACCTCGAGACGAGCTATACGCGCAACACGATCGGAGAAATCCCTGAGGATTATTTTCTCTTTCTCACTCAAACCCTTGTACCTTCTTGTTAACTCCGTTAGGCATTTCCTCATCCCCAAACACACAGTGCCGACTCTAATCTCTAATCGATACTTTTTACCATCGATTGCCACTTGCCCTACAACTACTACTCTTTTACTCCCTTTTCATTTTCGCACCATGTTACTTTTTCATTTATTCACACTATATAATATCAAGCTTTGCTACGATCGATCAATCTTGTACGAAGAATTCGCGTGGCACCGGCTGTAATATTGCTTTTAGTTTGCCTTAGGCAGTCAAGAAAACTTTCTTTTCCTCATCGAACTTGAAAAGACCCAAGCACAATGCTACAATCGCCTAGACAGTCTATAAAACTCTGGACTCTGCTGGACAGAATCAGAATATTATACGTTACAGGGTCTTCCATTTAATCATATTTCTGCGTTCAGTTTCTTACCCCCTGAAGCCAAGTGTAAAACGTGATGTGATTACAGCTGCACATCTCTCACAGACATACCAATTTCATCATATTTCTTTTAGACTCATTTTCAGACACATGACACATTACAGACCTTCTAGATAAACGTCATCATATTTTGGCTTATTTCTTCCTTTTACTCTTTCTAATAAAATACCTCTATTAAAGCTTTATCTAATCATTTGCTCTAGCAACTTAAAATTAAGTTCGATTGATCATCACCACAATGTATGCCAGCTTTCATTATGATCAACTTTACTTAAAAGTTTTATTTCAAATAGAATATTTTTTTTTACTTTATTTGATCTGATGAAGTTGCCTGGTGATTGATTTTATCATATTGTTGTTAATTTATTCGATAATGAAGGCTTCAACATTGAAGCAATGAAGGATATACGATGATCAAACCATATTAAATTGATTGAATCTTAATCCTTCCATTCTTAGAATAGATGAACAAAAGCTTCATTAAATATTGATTATTATTAAACAAACATTAATAAAATTGTAATAATGAAGAAGAATAAATTTTTGCATTCAGGTAAACAATTATTTAAACTCCATTAATTTAAAACAATGCTGAATGATTCAGGAAAGCAAATAATGATAAAGAATATGCAATACATTGTCGCTAAAACTGACGTTTGTTTTTACATTATTACATTCTAAAAAACTTTATAAACACTTCGACTTATTCTTTGCTCAACCCTCATATGAAATATCCCTTTTTCATTCCTCACTATAACCCTCATCTACTACACCCTTGCATTCTTGCATTTTCTTAATAATCCCTTTCTTTCTCATTCTCTCCAATGTTCAGAACAATTTAAATCACTTGAATGAAACATGACAATTTGATAATTTTTAATTACTTAAAAATATCTTGAGTACAAAGTGGTTCTTCTATAAACTGGATAATAAAAGATTCAAGTTGCTTTTGATTCTTTGATCATGGATCGAGGTTTCATTTGTTGGTAAAAACAAAAGTTGGAATAGTTTTGAAATATTTTAAATGTCAAAGCCAGAGATAATAGTGACTATGACTTGATCAATTGACAATGAAATCAAAGAATATGACTTCTAAATGGATCTTATGTTTGAAGTTGATTTGAATATATTGAACGAAAAGCTTGAAATGATTGTGCATAAAAATATGGACTCTAATAGAAATACAAATGACTTATCACTATTTGTAACTTTTATTGCAGTTTCTCCAATGTTATGGATACCTCATCAATTGGTAGGTGCACCACTAGGATACACAGTGACTCTGGAGTGTTATACAGAAGCACATCCTACTTCACTTAACTATTGGACAAGGCATGAGAACGGAAGGATGATTCATGACAGTAAAAAGTACAAAACCACTTCAGTGGCAGAAAAACCTGCTTATAAAACTCACATGACTCTCACCATATATGACTTGGAGGTAATAATGTCTTTTTTAATATCCTACTTGTTTTGAACAATGGTAATATAATAGGCGCAAATAGTAATGATCGTGGAATGCACGATTGTTTCAAATATTCGTGGATTCTGTAGTTGAACGAGTTCAAATGGATATGAGTGGAAATTGAAAATATTTCCTCATATCTCTTGTATTGATTTCATCGCGCATAAATGTATTATATTTGCAGGTGTACTGATAAATTAACGATCAATAGTAAACTAGACTAAAAATTGCTATACAGATATAACTAAGAATATTACCTAATAAACTTTGCTAAAGTATTTTAATTAGATTTTTATTGCTTTTTTTCTGTATTTATGAAGTTTCATTCAATACTTGATCTTTTTACTAATTTTTTCTAATTAAAATAAAAGTTATTCCCAATTGTTCAATATTTATAATAAATAATCCCGGTTCAATATCATTTCATTTTGAAAGATTGATAATGGAATTAAAATTTATTGTATTTAATGCATTTCATTTGTATTAAATTATTTTTGATTTTATGATATCATTGAATGCTTTATAATAATACTGACATAATTATTTATTACCATTATCTATATAATTCATTATGGATAGTTTTTCAATTATCAAGTTAATATTATCACATTTTAACACTTATTCTTAAATATTTACTGAAATTTTTATTCAACCTTTCCTATTAAATTTGATTAAAGAATCAAGTAAAATTGTTATTCAACATTAAATCAGCTTATCTGAAGTTAATTTAATATTCGTTGAAATAAATACGCGGACATACAATAATGCTAATTAGAGATTAATCATTGTGATTTAATGAACTATTGATAAATATGAAATTAATTGCTATGAAAAAGGGCTTATAATTTTGACTTCATTGCATACAAGAAATGAAAAAACTTGCTAAGCCATCCTAACAAGGAGCTTGACATTTCAACTATATCTACCATCTATAGAAATTCATTCTTCAAGTCAAAGTCAAGATAGAATTCTTGAAAATTTCGCTCTGGAAAGATGGATAAAAAGTTACAATTTGTTAAGGATGTTTAAGTTGATGATAAAATATGTTTTTAAAAAATTGATACATCCAATGATAATTGACTTTTTAATTTATCCAAAATATTTAATAATTGTTGATGATAAAAGTTTAGTTCAATTCTTAAAAAAACCTATACCAATTTTACCCTACAAAGTTATTCAGTCCCAAATCTTGGACCCATCATTTCTACCTTTTAACTAGTCTTCTACCATTTAATTACTTCAGCTACTATATTACTACATACCATAGAACTACCTTTTACATCAATGATTACTGAATGGTCCTAGTCTTATTTTGAGAAAAAAACTAACAATAGCTATAAATGTTTGATAATAATTTCAACTCTTCAAAGTATTGATAATTAAATAAGATAAAATAAGATTATTGATAATATTGAATAAAACTGGTATAGAAAAATGTTAAATTAATATTTCAACTTTCAGAATTCAGACTATGGCAGCTACAAATGTGTGGCTAAAAATCCACGAGGAGAAACTGATGGCACTATTCGCTTATATAGTAAGTATTTTATATAACAAAAAAAGATATTTAACAAAAATGATAATACATGTAACAAGAGTAATGTAATTCATTGTCAGCAGTTTTAGTATAGTATATCCCTTTTTTGAATTTAAATATGCTGTGTTGGTGAAAAAAGTCATAGGAATTGATTTAATGCGACAATCTAAGTTAATGAATATGGTGATTAATTTATTCTTACATCAAAAAAATTTTCAACGAATTAAAAATAATACAAGTCATTTAGTTAGGTGTGCATGTCAAGGATATTGTGCAGTTTTAGAAAGTTGACATTTCTCTGACTGTTTATGTTGAACAATCATCATATAATATTAAGCATATACAGATATTGATTAAATTATATTTTTAGATCAAGAATAATTTCATTGTTGATCATAATGTTTTTAAATAAGACAATAATGGCAGAATGATGACAGCAGAATGGATCCAGAATGATGGAGGATCATGACATTTCTGTCATTATTCTGCCTCCACTCTGCTATCATTCTGGATCCATCCTGCTGTCATCATTCTGCTATTATTGTTTTATTTAAGAATATTATCATTAACAATCAAATTATTCTTAATCTAAGAAGCATTTCATCGTTCATCTATAGAGCTAGGATAATGATAATTGAAATTGAGCGTAAACATAATGTTATCTAATAACAGAATTTCAAATGGTTGTTGAACGTTTTCAATCATCTTGAATATTTTTCGTATCTAATTGAAAAACTTCTTCCATTTATTTTTAAACTTTCCAATTCATTTTTTAACAAAAGATTTAATGAAGAAAGGAGAAGTAACTTCTTAAGAACAATAACATTAAGAAAATAATTATAAAAATAAATAGAAGCTTAATCTTTTTTTTTTTTCAAAAAATTGAAGAAAAACTACGAAATAATTCGCCAATGATTTTTCTTTTATATTATTAAGGCCCTGAGGATGTGGAAATTTTTCTTTTTATGAAAACTGATAAGCTTTCGAAAGTCCATTATTCTTCCAGCGAACTGCGGTTCTGAAAAATGTTTTACGAGCTTTTTCAGTCAACTTATCAGCAATTAAAAAAAATCGATTGTAGCTTGAAGGTGGGCATGAAATTTAAATGACAAAATGATAAGAAAAATGCTTCTTCCATAAATAATTGCTTAGGTAAAGATAATTAGCTTGACTAATCTCATTAATAATATCTCAAATGCTGTATTTTGAATCTGGTGAGGCTATTTTGTTCATCAAGGTCCAGTTTATCCAATCTTTCATCATCATTTATGCTTAAAAGCATTCCTGATAAATATCAATAATTTTTCTTTGTTATCCGTATTGGAATAATCTTCATCTCTAAATTCACGTCTAGCTTTATTTTCTTTAATATCCTTCTTCAAAAACATTTAAAATAGCATATAGTGTAAAAGATTTTAAACTAAAGCTTCATCAATTTATTTTATGGTTTATTTTCCATTGATAATCAATAAATCGTTGATCATAATTAAAATCAATTTACAAACTCATCTCCAAAGTTTGTAGTTATTTTTTTTCATTCATGTTAAAAAGAGATTGACATTTAGGATATAGAAATACAACTTTCTCCATGTTTCATAAATGATAAGTTAGAGTATCTTGATAAAAATGTATTTTTAATTTTACTAAAACATCTTTAAAAAATTTTCTACAATGTAAAGTCAGACCAGATAGAATGATTCATTTGGAAAAGTTATTCATTAACTTCGTGGTGCTTCTTTTAACGCACCAAGAAATGCATTTTTAGAGACCTTTTAATAACTACTAAAAAAGTCGTGTCTATGAATACAATTTTTAATTTTAGCAATTAGAGCCATTTAATGTTTTACATATATTTTATGTAGAAAATAAAAGCAGAGCCTTTCAGCATGTCACTGATGTTGTTGTAACATTCTGTTTTCTACATTACATTCTTAGTAAAATATCTATTTTTTTTTATTAAAAAACTTTTAAAAAATTATTGTCAATACTTGCAATAGATTAAAAAATGAAATTCTACAATTAAATATATCTCAACTATTATTGTTATATATTTGTCCTAATCAATAGCTTATCTATTTCTAATGCTACAAAATGGAGAACAACTAAGTCAATCAATATAATTAAAAGTCAATTATTTAGTCTCGTATAAAAATACATTCATCGACGAATAACTGCAGCATAATGATTGTCAGGAAATATGTGTTTACCTCAAGATATGAAGAATTCTTCTCATAAATAGCAACGTTACTGTCATTTTGCGAAACTATGTGTTAAGCATGATTGAAATGTCGTTAGTGACGGCTTAATCAATGCTTCCAAATAATATAATCAAAATTGGAACAATGTGCATTTGTTCTAGAAGTATTTACCACTCTCTAGCTCTTCTACGTTCTGATAGCAATTTTACTAGAGGGGTGTGTTTTTCCCGGAATAAATGTGACAGATTTTATGATTTAACCAAATATGACTTGATAGTGATAATACCTATTACTCGGAAAATACATTATAATTTCTACATAAACATTCGATATTGTAGATATAAAGATTCTATCAATGCTATCAAATGAGAATAATGAATTATGTGCTGTTAAATGTAGATAAATTTTATTTTTATCTTTAGACATGTTCAAATTTTTGAGAAACACCAACCAACTTGACTATTCAAGCTGAAAAAACTGATTAAATTTGATAAATTTAAAATAATAAAAGTTGATCATCATCAGCTTGACAGATAATTACCATTTGCAGAAAAAATTGTAGCAACTTATTTCATTTAAAAGAGATTTATTGAAACTTTGATCAAAGTCTTTTATTTTTAATCATTTCCATTTGTTATCAACAGAATATTTATATCCTAAAACTACCATCATACTTGATGAAATTTGTTTACAGTAGATAAATTTTAAAATAAGAACTCTCTCATGGGGAAGTTAAATATTTTTCAGTGTTTTTTTTTATGAAGCCGAAATTTAACATCGTTCTGCACTAAAAAAATTTATAACTGCAGTTATCTGTCATTCTTGATCTTGATTGTAAATAATTCCAATTAAAATAGTCTTTTATCAATAACTATTAAATTCCACAAGAGTGCTATTGGTTTTTATTGTTATTTCTATATTCGGAATTGAATGGATAAACATTTAGTTGTTTATTAATTATTAGTTCTTGGTTAATTATAAAAACTTTGTTTTTTGTCATTTCCAGTCTTTTATGTTATAAAGGTTTAATTGAATATTAATTAAATAATTGTGTTATGTATTTTAATTTAATTTTATGCATTGTACAACTTCCAAAAAATTTTATTTTTGAAGCTGTGTAATACTTGTTATTTTTAGCTTTCTAGGCCAATCTAAACAATAAACTTTTTTATCAAGTTTTTTTATATTAACATTTATATTATAATTAAACTTTAATTATATGGAATTAATATTTCACCAAATAAAAGCTACAGGGAGCAAGTTTTAAAGTAAAAACTATCTTGGAATTCAAAATAAGTCTGAGACCTGAATTTCTTGTAATACATTTTACAACATTTTATGATGATTGGGTTATGAAAACATTATGGATTAATTTTTACTTCATCATATTGACCATGTGATGACTTGACTTGATGTAAGAAACATCTGTAATAAATAATCTGTGAGTGAAGGTGGGAAAAAAAATCTAGCAATACCTTGCATGAATGTGTGAGTAAGTGATGAGAGGTCAGTAATTAGTCTATCTGGAAAACCTAAGACCAAATGGTCAACCAAGAATGCTCTATTAGTAACTATCAGCTAATCATTTCTTTTTAAATATATTCCACTTGTTCTTCATTTATTCAGTCCCTTTCTACACTAATCTTCCATGATGAATTAAACAACAATCTATAAAAAGATGTCTTCTAGACATGATAGATAAAATGTCAAAATAATATAAATATAAATATGATTTTATTCTGAATCGATTTTATAATGGAACACATTGTTAGTGGGAAGATATTAGCATTTGGGTGTAGTGATGAATCAGACAAAAATGAACGTTATCAATATAATATCATCCAGCCACCTGTCTCAACTCGTTAACCCATGGCTGCTCTCATTCTAACGGCATACACATTATATATCCTATCAGTATTTCCATCCGCATCGCTCGATCTTTCATTCTGTCTCGACATAGAAAAATTTCTGTCTCTCATTGTCTTGCCTTCTTTCACAATCGCTGTCTGCGCGTTCATCCGTCTCTCATCAATCTTCGATTTCCGCACCTTGTCCCTTCTTCTTCTTCTCCTTCTTCGGCATCTACATTTCTTCTTCGCAAGAGCTTTAGTCTCACAGAGCAAGCTCCTTTGCACGTCGACTACGTAACTCTTACTGTAAAATATTGAAGACAGAACAACCAAGTCACAAGGTACATAAGATGTTGGGCCAAGGTGGCTACGACATACGCCGCATTAATTTAAAAGATAGTTGAGCACGACTCGTGGTCGTTTGAGCTAAAGTTGTCTTCTGAATTCTGCCCAGTCAGAGAAGAAGAGGAAAAAAGAGAGGGATACTTTTAGAATCGACTTTTCTGACGAGCAAAGAAGTTTGGCAATTTCCTGGAGCTAATCTAGAGGTCGGTCAGCATTGAGATGCCGCCGAGGCAGCAAAACTAGGGAGCTCCAAGGTTGAGAGGGGATGAAATTGGACTCACACCGACCACGAACACCGAGTGATCCCATGAATTATACAAGCGACTCCTCAAACAAGGAGTAGAGCTCCGAGTACCTCTCGAGATTTCACAAGACGAACGTGAATGCGTACGCTCAAGTTAAACAGATTTTTTAACTCTTCCTACGATAACCAACTTTTTTATCACGTTGTCAATTTGTACAAAGTTTTTTTCAAAAGTTGCTTGCTACTACAATTATTCGAAATATGATTAATAACATCACGTTCTAAAAGTTCTTTTTACATTTTGTCCATGTTAACTTTAACTAGAAGTGAATCTTTTTTTACCAAATTTGGATAATTTATTGC